AATTTCTTCTTCTTTTTTTTTTATAATATTCAATAGAGTTTCTAGATTATGACCACATCAAAACGAAATAGTACGTGTCTTTTCTCCTTGAGCGTATTAGATAACTACTTGGTCGTTAATCTCAGTTGAAATTTACTTTTATTGACTTAGCTGAAACCTCCTATATTTAGTCAGCATCACGATAGGGACAACATAGTTGTATTGAACATTGAATGTAGCCGAGGTTTTTATAGGAACCTATTTTATTGTTTATGGAAAAATTTTATAGCGTTTGGAGAAACGATACTTATGGCAAGTTATTGAATCTTTGCTTTCGGATGAGTTTCTAATTTGATTTAATATTTAATTATTCGAATAAATAACACATAGAGAACATCTCAATTGATTTTTATTAAAATTCTTTTTCAAATAAAATACTGTCTATTACTTGTGACATTCATGTATTTCAAAAGGCTTCTCTTTCTTTTTTGTATGAGTAACATAGATGGTAAACGAATCATGAAAAGAAAATCTGAAAATTTATTCTTACTATAGTGTATATGTGTAAATCTATAGGTAAAATAAATTCTTTCATGATAATGATTTGTGACAAACAAAGACGCTAGACACTTTTATACTCTTATTAACTATTTTTTCAGAGACTAATGCTATTCTCTCGGTTGGGCAGAAGGTCATTCAACAAAGAACCAGCCTAATTATATTTATGTGTCAGTATTGAAAATTATATACACTGATAGAGAATAAACATTTAAAAAAAACTAAATGAAAGTGAATACAAGAAATAATATTGACAATGGTTTAAATTCATGCAAAAGTTGAATTTCTATAAGAAAAAAAAAAGAAGAAGAAATTTACATATATCTATTCTTTTTCATTGAATGCAATAGGAAGGAATAATGTTTTCTTTTTTAAAGTCTGCCAAATGGAACGCGAAGGGAGAAGAAAGATGTTTGTGATCTTACTGTTTTGCCTGACCTTGTTCTAATGGAAATAATGTCGGATTTGACACTTATAGAAAATTTATTTTTCATTGTTTAATGTTGATGACAAATCTTACTATAATTATCTACTCTACGAATGTCGATAGTTAGTTGATGTTCATCATTAATCAATATTTTAATTGTCAATGTTTCGTTATTTATGTACAAAACTACTTCAACATATATCATATCGCATCAAATCATTGAAAGTAAATGCTAACTTTGGTAGTAATCGTATTATTTATGATCTTCCATATGATATCTTCTTCAATTTGAATTCATTATATCTATAGGCAGTAAATCTATCAATCAATTAATTCTTTTAACAAAGTAAAAAAATATTCACAAATTACGATAATTTGTAGTCTAAATCAAATTTTTCGTTTTTATTCTAAATCGAAAATATTTTACAACCATTTTGGGTTGCCTCAAGGCAGTAGTTTCAACTCATGTCTGTTCATTGCCTTTTATTGTGATTTTGTTGCATATGTAGGTTCTCATTGTAGCCACATGTTTTCTAATGATCTCAACGTACTCATACTTTCACCAATATATCGAAGAAATAAGGCAAAGATCAAATTTTTAGAAGAAAAAACAAACATATATAACAAAATAGCGAATTAATTATTCCAACAGACGGAAACAATCAACTAAATCGTCCAAAACAGTAATGTAGGTTTTTCAGTCATAAGTACAAAGTCGAGTAGTTGATATCTGTATGGAGAGTCAAAAACTATAAGTACTTGAAGTGTTCAAATATCTACGTTTTACGTAGACAAATAAGATTTCTTTGAAACCAACGATTTATAGAATGAAAGGTAGTAAAACTTTCTCAAAAGATGTCTTGCAAAGACGTTTTTTTTTGCTTAGTTTCTCATAGTTTGCCTGAATATTTTCACTATATTCATCCCTACCGACGAAATCCCCCAAAAAATTACTTCAAAAAACATTTAGAAACGGATTACGAATGGTTCATCACTGATCCATTGCTCGAACAAAAAATCTTCTTCGAATAACAAATGAAGAGTCATTAGAAGAGTACGTAGAAAGTTATATTAAGAAAAGATTAGAATAAATATAAAAATCAGTTTTAGGTCGCTTGCCGTTTTATAACTATATATTTTACTGAGATTCGTCTTATATGAGGAAAGATCGTCATCTCGGGTATTCTTTTTGAATGAAACGAGTGAGACAAATGAATGAAAGACATCAATCACTATTTATTTGTTCAATGCCTTGAATTTCTGTCTATGTGAAGTATGTCGTGTAATTGTTTGGGTGTTACTCTTCTCTCTTTCTCTTTTTTTTCTCTATTCATCTTGCCTTTTATCCTTCTTTTTATTTTTTTTATTACTATTTCCTTCCTTTTTTTTATCACATCTTATGTGTCTAACGTAGTATCTTATAAATCTATTGTGTTTTCTTGTATACTTACATCGCTCATGGTCATGTGAATTAAACAGCTGTGAATGCTTACAGTGTTCCTTGTAAACGCTTCCGAGTATTACAATAAAGAGAATGAAATCAAGATATAAATAAATATTGCGTTTTTATTCTCTTTTGACAATTCATGAAACGAGACAAAAGCAAAATATTAATATAAATCTTTTCTAACTAGTTAAGAATATTTTAATTTGTTTAATTATTTTAATTTCTCAAATGGATTTCTGCGATTAATTAGCATATAAAAACAAGCAATCTCGAAGAATGAATAAACACAATTCATAGAATTCAAAATTGTTGGCAAGATTAGATACAAGTGGATTTGATGGAAAGAGATATCCTCTTTGTTCGAAAACCGGAACGATAAGCATGGAAAAGTTCAGCACCTAAAAAAATCACGGTCAATATGAAGTCTGCTGAGAGATTATAGAATAATTATTGTAATCTAAACATAACTTTTGTTTTCTTGTACCATAAGTTGATATTATTGCTATGTTGAAGAGTTCAAAATGTTGTATGAAAACATGTTCTATTATATAGTAATAAAACATGGCTAATTGTTTTGTTTCTATTCAGTAAGATTACTTGCTTAGAAAGAGATTAAGCCTATTATACTATCTTATTCAATTTTTAATACTGATTCGCATTGACAAATATATTTCAAAGATCGAAACTGAATTAAATGAAAGAATAACTCGACATGATATGAATAATCTCAGTCGAATTGAATCGATTAGAACTGGAATGAAAATTTTCTTATCCGTTTTGATCTCTGATACATTCATTGAACTTTCAGTAAACTTCATATCTACCTCGATTGTTTTTACGCACTTAACTTTTCGGTACTGAAATTTCTCGTGCTTAAAAGAATTTGTACTCATTGTTCACCAATTACCAATTTTTTCTGCTATTCAAAATAAATAGAATGTGCAACTAGCTGGTGTTGATTACATTAGGAAATTTTAATAAGCCTATCCTTAGAAGAACCATAAATTAGCTATAGTTGAATAGTTTGATTTGATTATATATATATGAACTAAATCATTTTTGTTTTATTTTAATAGGAAACAGATATCGGTGCTGTTATTAATCAACTCACTTGTTTCGAACATTTAACATTATACTATGAAAATCTTGAAAGTTCTAAAATTGTCTCTGAACATTTTCTATTATTGTCTCTGATCATTTACTTGCATTATAACTCTTTCTAAAAAACTAAAAGTTAAACGACTCCTAGGAACTTTTCGCACGTCTTCATTTGTTGGTCACGGTTAACAGATTCATCATCATTTTTGTTAGGAATGACTAAATCGACAGAAATTAAGATTTTATCTAATATTCAACATTTTTTTATTCATTAGTTGTACAGGTAATAATATTTCATGGCCAATATATGTGTGTCTCACTCAATCGACGATTTGATCTTCGTATGCAGTGTTTTGTTTTGATTATACAGTCAAGCGGGTACCTCCACTTAATGATATTCATTGAAACTCTGATATCGATGATGAAAGTGGGAAATGGAAGTTTTTCTGATACAGGATAACTGTCCACTGATTTAACATCATTCGATGGACTAGTCGAAATCGCGTTTCGTCTTATTCTTCATTATTATTATGAAAAATCGAATGCAGCCAGATAAACAGTCAATTAGTGTGAACGCAATTGAACAAGATTTAATTTTTTCGATGCACATATACAAATGAAAAATTGCAAAGACTTCTACTTTTTTAACATTCAACAAACATGAATAGGATGAAATTTGAATTTTTCAATCAAAACCATCCTCATGTCAACATATAGAGAGTTAAAATCTATGATCTATTGAAAATATAACTGACTATCAGAAATCAGTGTATTGCTCAGTTTCACAGTACTAATTTCTTGCAATAGAAGTTGCTGATAATTCGGTACGCTGATATATAATGAAATTTTGTAGGCGACGATTCAGATGGATGCAATATGAATACTTAATCTAATTCGCACTGTCAATCATTGTTATTTCTATAATGAAATAACCTTGTCTTAATGTTACCCGAGACTTTTGTGCAGTCAGAAGTTTTTAGCTCATGATTAATAATTGAAATAAATAATATCTACACTATACTAGATAGACGAGTTATGTTTTGACAAAAAAGAATAAGATTTTATGAACCTTTGATATACGTCACTTAAATACATTTCTATGACTTAGTATCTCAATCTATAAA